AAAACTAAGAACTAAGGAACTAAACTAAGGAAGTTATCATCCAGAATTGGACAAAAATGTCCCTTTAATAGGGTAGAGCAGTAAAGCTTCTGACCTAAACATTTTTTCCTGTATTACTGTGACTTTTATAATTTTAGTAGTTTTAAAATGCTACTTTAACACTTTTACTGTAGTAAAAAGCTGAAGTTGATCCTCTAACATCTACAAAAGTCTTTTTAAACAGTAGGATTTCTCATCCTCAGACCAGATTTAGATCCCAGAGATCAAACCTGAACTCAGCGTCAGTGTAAACCTGAGCTGTCCCAAAAGAGAAAGTGCTGAACAGCGACCTCCAGCTCACAGATGAGAGGACCGGAGCAGCGTGAGGACAAAAGGCTTCAGCGGCTGTCACCTCCTGCCAACAAGCAACACACAGCTGGTCTGTTGGATTATGGGACAGCTTCTTCAGCGCGCCGTAAATCTTAGTACCACTCCTTTTTAGGGCTTTTGTCCTGCTGCGCTCCGGCCCATTGAAGCGGCTCTCTTAACTGGCTATAAATAGTGCCATGACAGTTTGCAGAGTTCAGTCCGGCCTTTCTTCTCAACTATGCAACAATTTGGACAGTTGAAAAGAGAGAAATGCTAACGTATATGAATAGAAACATGTAGGTTTATCTGTAAAAGCACAGATATCTCTATAGATGCACCGATCCACTTTTCTTCATTTCCGATACTCTAATCCGGATACCTGCTGATCCTGACAGCCGTTTATCTTTAATGTTCTCATCATTACTGTTGATTTATTGAGAGAACGTCAAACATAAAGTATGGTACAAATAAATCCCAAAAAGAAACTTCATAAGGTCAGAAAAGGAAGTCACAGAAACAGTAAATCAGGTTAACAGGACTAAAAACAAACAGATCAACAGTAAAGGGTCAAACTGACTGAATTTAATGAATCAAAGACAGATGATCAAAGGGAAACTTCCTGCTGTCCAAGTGCTTTTTTTTGTTTAGCAAACTGAAACTAATTATAGAAACAGACTGAATAGATCTGATCTAGAATTTTCTCCAATATTAGAACAGATACCGATGTCAAGATCGGATCTGTGAATCGCAGACGGACCTCAGTTTAAGGTTTTTCTTTTAGTTCAATCAAAGATTTTTTGCTTCAATTCTTTTTTCCCCCCGAAATTTATTTTATTTTCTATTTTTATTCAAATGTTAAAATATCTCACTTTCAAAAAGCACTTATCAGTTTCAGATTTTTTTGTAAGATTCAAAATAATTATTTAGTTTAAAAACTTTTTTTCTCCATTTTCAAAAGAAAAAAAACCAACATATTTTTTTACAAACATTATTGCCCCATTTTATCACAACAGACTTTAGGATAACATGCATTCGAACTCATAAAAATATTTACACCCTGGAGAGAAATATTTACGTCATACTGACGTTTTTAGTTAATTTGGGTGTTTATAAACCGTTTCGCCATGGTTCATAAAAATGTTTTAGTGCTGTAATATTGATCAGAGTTTTCCCTCTGGTTCTTCCACATAACAATCAATTGTTCTTGCTTTTTAACCCTGTAATGCCAAATGTATCATATTTGATACATACGGTTTCTGAAATGTTTTGCGTCTGACACCTTTTGCATAATCCAATGGTAAAAACTTTGCTCAAAATCCTATTGTACACAATCAGATATACCTGATAACAGCCAGTAGAAGACTACACAAAAAATTATCTTGACTTATCGCATAGTAATAAATTATTAATATTTAAATTTAATTAAAAGGCCAAATAAGGACTTCAAACCAAAAAAAAGTAATTTTCTGTTTTGTTTTATTCTTGGATCGGGCTTTAAAGGGTTAAAAAAACTTTCTAGTTTAACTCCATCCATCCATCCTTTCATCCATTTTCTTCGGCTTTATCCGGGGCCGGGTCGCAGAGGCAGCAGTCCAAGTAGAGATGCCCAGACTTCCCTACACACACCTCCTTCCAGCTGTTCTGGGGGGACCCCACCCCGAGACAACACCAGGCCAGCTCAGAGACATAGTCCCTTGACGTGGAGGAGCAGGGACTTTACTCCGAGCTCCTCCCGGGTAACGCAGGTAGTGTCCATCTCCCCCCAAAACTCCTGGATCGGCTTTCTGATTTGCTGACGCTCCGGAGTCCAGTGGCAAAAGTTCAATTTATTGAACAGCGTTGGAAAACTGGATGCACTGCTGGACCTCTCA